TATGTTGGATGGCTTATCTTCTTTCTCTCCCCTTACCTTCTCTTTAATTTAGATGTTTTTTATTTGTTTTCTCTCCGCAGGATGGAGAACGACGAGGGCCGTGTTGTTGATTTGTACGTCCCAAGAAAATGCTCCGCCACCTCGCGGCTGATCCCTGCGAAGGAACACGGGGCCGTTCAAATCAACATTGGGATGGTGAGAATAATATATATATATATATATATATATAACTTGTATCCTCCTTGATCCTCGACTCAGTTTATACTCGACTGAGTCTATGTTAGACATATATATTCGTTTGAGAATATTGTATATATAGGAATGCATACATGTGTGTGTATGTGTATGTTGTATGCATTTGAGTTGATTGTATTATATTGAATTTAACTCACATATACTTCTGCACATTCATGTTCATGATCGAGTTTGTAAACTAATTATAGATGCTGTCTTGCATACTTTTACGTGTATATATTTGTATATGTGTATATCATATCCTGCACATTTCAGTAGGTATTGCACGAAGTTTAGTATATTTGGGCTGTTATATGCGACAAGAGGCGGATCTCACCGCATAATTTGCTGTGGTTTTCGTTGTTTTTTCCCGCACTGTTTGACGTTTAACAGAATATTCGCAATCCTAATATCATTCAAACGCTTATTTCTCTGTTTTGCTTGTTTTAAACAGGTAGACGAGAGCGGCAGATACACCGGGGAGTACACAACGGTCGCGTTGAGTGGTGCGGTGCGTCAGCGTGGGGAAAGCGATGCGTGCATGAACCGTTTGATGCACGAGAAGAAGATCTTGAGCTTTTCGAAGTAAATAAAGTTAATTAATTGTAATTAATGCAATTATTAATTGCAATTAATGCAATTTAATTATCAGTATACTTCCAGAAAGGCTGGAGGTTACTCACACCCTCCTACCCGACCTGGAAGCGGCAGCAGAGACAAAAACATGAACAGCAAACTTTTGCGCTGCAACAATTTAATTCAGTACATCTTGACTCCCGTTTCGAAGCGAAATATACATATAATGTAAATAAAAATATATATTTACACATTTATACAAATGCGGAGACTGCTGCTGCAGGAGTTTGCTTCGTCGTTTCAGTTGTCGAATTGTCTTAGTGTACAATTGATATTAGTTGTTTTGGGAAATTTCAATTAGACGAGAATGTCTTTAAAGGGTATTTATTACGAAAAGGGAGTTTTATTAGGTCTCCACCGTGTAGAATACTGCGCTGATATATAGGAAACTGCATGGAACATCTATGTTGCTGGAAGTATACTTAGAGGTATACTGAACGATATTCAAATATGTCTGTGTATACCAGGTGGAAGAGCAGCTTGAATGATCCCTAATTTATTCTTTGAGTTCACTTGTTTTATTTCTGTCTCTCTTCTCTCCCAATGATAGGCTTGTCTCTGAACTTCAATAGTATTTAATACATATCTGAATCTGTCTACCAATGATGAAGGCAGGAGTAGCTTGGCGTTAGAAGAACAGAATGTATTTTTGGTTGTGTTTTTCTTCTCTATTTGTTTGACGACTGCAAGGAGAGTAGTGAATGAAGAACCTTTAGTTAGATTTGAAGAGGAGTTAAGAACTCCTAATACGCATATTTGAACCCCTCTCCACTCTTGAGACTCTTTGGGGGCACTTGGAGATAATAGAGCGTAGATAAGGCAGCAGGAAGCTATTGCTTTCTGCGTGAGTTTCAGCAGCACATCTTTTTGCAGCTACAGCTGCAGGAATACTGCACAGCAACTCATTGTTGAGACACAAAAGCAAGCCCCCTCTTGCCGCATGCAGAAACACTGCGGGTATTTGTTGAGTGAGCCCTCAACAGCTTATTTGCATGCGTTTAGCTATATCAATAAAGCCAATATTAGACAGTCCATGCGCTACGAGTTTGGGTTCTAAGAAACGACCTTCACTTGTGCAGTATCGGCACATCCAGCATTTCATATTTAATGCTTTTTATTTAGTTAAAGAAAAAGGGTTTCTTCTTTTAGCTGCTTCCGTTTGAACACCTGCAGCCGACGGACCACTGCGCCGCATGCGGTTGACTGGATGAGACTATCTGGAGGGAAGAGGGAGGGTAACAAAAGCATCTAGTATTGCACAATTATAATTAAATTGAGTTAAATTATAATAAAAAACTAAAAGAGATGTTCAGAGGCCGTTGGTTTCAGCGCTCTTGGTACTTCAAATACAACTGTGTTGAGGTGCCGCCGTACGCTGCATGCAGAGGGAAGCAGAGAGGAAATCAATCGAAATCCACAGCAGCTGCAGCGAAATGAAGTTTTTAATTGTATTTTTTGAATAAATAACTCTATATCTGGATGCTTGACCTCGTGTTCCCCTGCTTTCCCCGCAGCACCTCCTCGTGCACGCAGAAAATTCACTGCTGCTGCGTCTTTGAAACATTCATTTCTGATTATATGCAGCGTACATACACCCGTGTGCTTTGAGAATTAAACAATTTACTCTCATGGAGATTCCTTCTCCTGGAGTTTCCTCTTCGCGCTTTCTCTCTGGAGGTCTGCTGGCGCCTTCCCCGGCTAGCTCTGTCTGATGTATTAGTTGTTGCATGTGTCAATCGAATTCAACAACAATACAAATTCTCAACGAGAATGACCTCTCAGGGAGGCGAGATTCGCAGGCATCCCTGTCACGGGGGCTTGTTGGGTCTCTGTACCGCTAGCAGCAACACCAGCAACAACAACCTGCAGCAGCAGCAGCAGCAAGACAGCTACCCCCATGCCACTGCCCTAGCACAAGGCGACCACTTGCAGCAGCAGCAAGACTATTTGTGGGCTGAGGCGTACAGCATGAGCAATGCAGAGGGGCCTGTACTGTCTGGACAGGAGGTGCCTGCACCACACCACGTGCATTGCAGTTGCAGCTGCTGCTGCATCTACTGCTACAAAGGACAGGGGGATCAATACGCCTCTGAAATTAAGCAACACGAGGTAGAAACTGACGGCTTCGACGCTTTGATCTCCTCCCATGCACTTCCTTGCGAGCAGCAGCAACACCAGCAAACAAGCGAAGCCGTTGAGTTCTGCCCTTGTCACCATCACTGCCAGCAGCAGCACCAGCACCAGCAACACCACCACCATCACCACCACCACCATCACCATCACCACTCTGGAGTTTCTCAAGTTGCACAGCTGGCCGTCAGTGCCCCCAACGTTTCGTCTGCCGATGAGCAGGCAGCCATGCTGCCCCCCCCTTCTGAAAAGGAAGAAGACGAAGAGCCTGTGGAGTACGAGTACTATGTGTGGGACCCAGTAGCTCAAGAATACTTACAGACTGACAGACAAACAGGGGAGAAAATGCTGCAGGACCCGCAGTACTTCCAATACCACTACCGACTTGTTGAAAATACACAAGACGGCGAAGCTGTGCTGTTACCTGAACCCGTAAATGCTGTCGTTGGACCTTGGAGCGAAGACCTGCAGGGCGTGATGCAGCAGCAGCAACAACCGGTTCCAGTGGGGCTTTACAATGTGCAGCAGCAAGAAGATTACCCAATGAATCTTTATCATCATCAACAAGGGGGGCCCGCCGGTCCTCACCACGACCAGGAAGAGGCCACATGCTTTGTTAGTGCTGCACACTTAGAGGAGGGAGGCGGAAGGAACAGCTCTCGATTCAGAGGCCCTCAAGATGGTGGTGTGTCGTTGCAAACCCCCAACCCATTACAGCTGACGACACCCCGACAGGACCCCTTAGTGCGGCCCATCTCATCACAGAGCCGCTGTAAACAAAAACAACAACAAGGCCTCCGAAGAAACTGCGTCGCTCTTGAAAAGGAAAATTGCCCACAGCAAACCACCTGCAGCGCACACCCCACTTTAAACGACTGGGACACTTCTCCTCTCACAGGCGACGTTGAGCGCTGGGGCGCGGGTGGGAGCTCCAATCTTTTTCACCGTCGAGGCAACGGAACGCCGAGAGCTAAAGGCGTCGACCGCAAGTCAATGCGGATGGAGGCCATTAAATCAAATCCCCGGTTTTTCATCTCCTGCAGCAGGCCGTGGGAAAACCCTTCTACAAGCATGCGATTCAGGGATCTGCAACTACGACAACTGAGACATTTGCAGAGAGTGCAGGAGTTAGAGAGAGATGAACTGCTTAAACGACAAGTTATGCTCGATGAAATGGCAGCGGCACTTCCCAAGTCATCGCAGGAACTTCTGAATGCAGAAAGCAGCCGAGCTTGGCGAGACCCAAAACGCCCCGCTAACGATGGCCGAACAAAGAATTGCAGTCGAACCTCTACTCAGGGGCACCTACGTGAAACAGAACGCCGAACTCGAACAGATCCTGTTAATAGAGGACGCTACTTTAGGGATGTGTGGAAAAGTGACAAGTTTCTAGAGCAACAAAAACATCCAACATTCGACGTGAAGGCATACGATGCGTGGTTGAAAAACAGTGGACATCTTATTAGAGGCAGGGCCCTAGAGCTGCAGCAAGAAGAGCAAAGGTTACTCTCCAAGCTACAGCAGGAAAGAAGCACCCGTGTAAAGCGATGCGGGCACTGAATGAAGGGAGGTTTGACGTAAGTGTGTTGAAATCTACAATGAATCAATTCTGTTGACCAGTGTTTCATATGCCTCATCGCTTTCCGTTTGGGTATTTTCACCGCCACACATTAGAGACCCATGCATTGGAGTTCCGATCGATGTCGAACACGTCGAACCCCGCCGCGGGACACCCATCCCACACGTCATGATGTCATTAATGTGGTGATAGAAATGGCTGTCGGGAAGTAGCTTGATGAAGCCAGGGCTTGAGAAGTTTTCTCCCAGGTCTTGGGAACTACCAGTTGACGTGAGGCTTGTAACTGAGCTGCTTCTAGGGATCGGTTGGTTTGGTGTCTCAAGTTGGCCTCCATTTGAATTTCCGTGGACTTTCCGTGGGGCTAAGTAGAACGATGCGTCGCTGGTAAGAATCCAATTGTTGATCCTTATCGCGCGGTCTTGCGATTGGAAGTCCGGCACACACTCAAAGACGGGTAGGACCACATTAACGGCCTCCGAGTCCGGGTACTCGGAAAAGAATGACTTTGAATTGCTGTCATACAAGAGCTTTTCCGCCATGGACAGTCTTTCCATAGGCAATAGATTCCCCCATCCCTTCTCAAAGGCCTGCATATACGCGTTGTAAATATCCGTTGTTTCGACGCGCCTTCGGATTTGGTAGATATGAAGAGGAAATAGGAACGGGGTTGTAAGTAGTTGAAAAGCTGTGGGTCTTTTCTGCGGGTCTTTGGTCAAGCACTTCAGCAGGAAGCTCATAGCGTCCTGCCGCAGAAAGGGCAGACGGTCAGTCACATCTTTTTCTTTAAATGCAGGTATTTGCCTAGAAGCTTCCTGTAGGATGTACGACGAATTGTGATGCACAGCCTGAAACAAATACAAAAAATGGTCTCACGTTCATGTTCAGGCACTCGAATAGACGCTCGCCAGTGAGCAGCTCAAAGAATATTGTCCCTACAGCCCAGATATCCACGCCGTAACTGTACCCTTTACCGGTGGGCATAAACTGCTCCGGCGCGCAGGCAAAGCAGGTTGTGTAGTTTTTTGTCAAGATGAGTCCTGGCTTGACCTTTCTGTACAGCAGAAAGAACTTGCAAGGGCCTACTCTAGGCACGGCAACGTAGGCAGCTGACTTACGTGCTGTTGCCAAAATCTATTATTTTCAATTCGTCGTTTTGGAAGCAGTCTCCGTGCCGCACGAGGATGTTTTGTGTCTTGAGGTCTCGGTGAATAACGCATTTTGAATGAATGAGCACCAGGGAGCAAACAATTTGATAAATGTAAGCCCTGGCAACCTCCAGCTAAGCACACATCAGGGGATTTCGGTTGTCATAGCAAGCACGTTTGTTGCATTTCGTATTCGTACCGGCATCCCTGTGGTGTATTTTGCCTTGAGCAACTTTCTTAACTCTCCTCCGTTGACAAGTTCAAGTGCCAGATGGTCGTGAGAATCGCCGACAGCACTGTGATGAGCGACAGCAGCAGCAACTGCCGAATTTCCCACTTCCAGCGCAACCGAATGCGCCATGAGTCCAAGGAACTTCGAAGGATGAGGATCTTGGGCCTTGTAGGTCAGCAGAGCCCCTTCCAGACGGATTTCACAGATGAGGCTAAACTCATGTCGTAGCATTTCCTTGGGTTCCCGTTTAATGGCGACAGGGCCTCCGTGCCTTCTGTCAATTGCAAGAAAGACCTCTCCATTGCCTCCCTTTCCAAGCCGTGTGTCCAGGAAAACTTCGAAACGACGAAAAACAGACAGCTGGTACTCTGTAAAAAGAGTGCTCTCCGCAGGAACGGAATTTCCAGCTGTTTCCACAGGTGTATCTGGTGGGACACAGCGGCGAATTGGATTAGGACGGTCGACTCCAAGAAGGATTCGACGAAAAGAAAAAGAACAAGCGGCATTGCCATCTGCGCCGAACGGTTTGCCGTTCACGTTGATGCCACTTTTGGGGATCATGCGGAACTTGCAATTTTCGGCAGCGTCCAAGTGGGTGAACACTTCGAAACCCTTTCCCGTCTCCTTGAAAAAGTGGAAAGACCCACAGGCGTTTCCTTGAAACGGAGACGCCGTAACAGGAGGGTTTTGACGCACAGAAATGTTTCTATCGCGGACCTTGATGCGCAAATAGCCACAGTTGCCTCTGTACTCCGGATAGGGGCCGAGAGGAACTGGCACCAAAGTGCCTGACAAGTTGTTTGTGCAGTTACAGCCGATAATATAGTCTCCAGGTTCTGTGAAGACAAAGGTCGAGGGGTAGGGGCTAGACTGGATCAAGCAAAAATAATGAGCTTTCCGCAAAAATGTCTTTTCCGATGCGGGCGTTGTCCCACGCTGTTGGCGGCTTTCTTCGGAGCTGAAAGCTGCTCCTGGAGAGACCGTCTCCGCAGTTGTTCTAGCGAAGCTATTCGCTAGTTTCCACCTGCCGAACATCTTGACAAGTCTGTGGAAGAGCAAAAAAAAATTCAGAATCCGCTACTGCGACGATCGCATACGAAAGAAACGCCCGACTCCTGTTGTCGTGTTTTAGTTTCCACCTAATACGGAAGTGAAAACGATGGATGAACGGGACGGTCGCGGAATAGCTGAGTGGTGCGATTCGGGACTGCGAACCGGAAGTCTTGTGAAGGCCGGATTTCCGCTTTTCGTGGAAAGCGGCTCCAATTGAAAAAAAAAGAACAACTGGGTCGCGCGGATTGCGATTGCGCGAAAAACAGATTAACGGGGTAAAAACAATCAACGCATGAGCCTTTAGTATGGCAGTACGTGAATTTCTACAATTGGGGCTGCTACTTGAAGGTATTGTGAAGAGCAATTTTTGGGCGCTTTAGCGAGCAACCAGAAGAGCTGTCCATACAGCCCGTTACACCAAAGACCTCTGTTAGCATCTATGATTGAAACATCCGAAAAAAGCAAAAAGATATGGCCTATCTTCTAGATTATTGTGTGCTCTTCTCTTTAAACGCGTTAATCTACTGTTTTCGTTGCATTATGGAGACGTTTCGCAGGGCGATCTCTCTCCAATCGGAATCGCCCGACCCGTTGTTCAGCTCGTGCATGGCTACTTGAGTATAAATATTCCTCAGGTTACCTGTGACTTCCGTCTTATATATATTTACATGAAAGTCTAACTGTGCAACAATCCTGAGCCTGTTTGCATGATAAGTGTAGTAACGCGTGCGCTTCCCCGTTTGTTGCATTCAGAGCAATGAGCTGGTAAAGTTCCCTGTCGTTCCTGCGGCACTTCAAAGTGTAAAACTTTCCATGAACAGTTTTATTTGTTTCTTTATTGCCTTTTTATTCTTGTCAACAAGGCAGTCCGTGCAGATCTGCCTCGCTTTGACAGCTGCGCAAGGGGCAGGTTTCTGGCTAGCGGAGTGGGGGCCAGAGCTTCTGAAAAGGTCGAAACAGCAGCTTCTGAATCAACTAAAGACACCAGTAACCAATGAATAAGAGATTTCCAAATTTATGCAAGAAAGGTCCAATTTTCCCTTACTTCCCCAGCCTTTTGTTTTGACGACGGCAGTGAGTCGGCTGCCCTTGGCCCCTTCGCCGAGACCCACGACGGTGTGGAGGAGCTCCTCTGGAGGGACTTCGAAGCAAAGCAGATATGCGGTTTGGAAAATAAAGGTCTTGGGCTTCTGCATGCCTCTTTCAAGGTGTTCATCTTGCTGAAGCCCAGCGGGATCTTCCCCAGTTGCTCCCGACGTGGATTTTCCGCTGGTCTGGTCACGCATTCTTCACCACTGGTCAACAACCGGTGCTAAACTGCTTTTTATTGTATCTGTTCACTTGCTGAAGGTTGTTGAAAGGACGTTGGTAAAGTGAAGCTGATCGGTGGCCGCATCCCCAGCCCTCCCCAACCACGGCTTCCCTCTGCAGGGGAGGCTCGAGAGCAGCGGTGGCGGATGTAACTGCTCCTTATGTTTCTCTTTTAGCAAGCTTGGCAAGTACTGGGGAGAAGTGTGTTGTGGATTCTGTCTTGAAGGGGTTCGCCAGCAGCAGCAGCAGCAGCAGCAGCAGCAGTATCTGGCGTTTCTCTCCCGTGCTGCTGCAGCGCATGCATCTGTTTCTCTGTATGTCTGCCTGAAGACCTAGGGTTTCTCTACAGTTGAAGCCGCAGCAATGGATGGCCCTGGAGGCGGGGGAAACCCCTTCCTGCACACATGTCTGGCTCGTGGGGACTTCATGGCTTTCTTTGCGGAGTTGCCGAAGACGAACAATTTGTTTGTTCGAGACAGGGGAGGACGGACAGTGATGGAGTTGGCGATGCAGATGACGGTTGAGCTGTTTCAGTCTTGCTTCAGCACTTCTTTTCCCATAGACAGTACAGCTTTAGGCAGAGGCTGCTGCTGCTCCTGCGCCGTCTGTGCACACAAGAGGCACCGCAGTATGAGGGACGGCGAGGGAGAAAACCAAAAGTCTTATAACTGCAAAAACCCCATGCGGATCCGCTACAACGAGGAATATCTTTCCATGTATGAACAGCCCAGACAAATGAGAATCAACGCTAGAAGCAAGCCCCCTGTTCCCTCTCTGCCGCCTAAATATAAATACGTACCTGCACAATATCCTCAAGAATGGACACCTGAGGCCTCTGGCCTTCCCTGCGCCCGACAGCCAAGAGGACCACTGGACCACTCCCAAGGTGCCTATACACCCCAACTCTCCTCGTATAGATCTGCACAAGTAATATGGATCTATTATCACCCAGGACCCCTGAAAAAAGTATCGGTGTAGTTGTGCTCGATGCTGTTCAATAATTTCTGTTTCAGTACGTCTGCTTAATCAGCTGTACCTACGTGGGATTGCGTAGCTGCATGCAAATGTTTTGGTTCTTATTTGATTTGATGCTTGCTCCATTACTGAGCTGCTGCACTGAGCAGCCTTGTCCTGACCACAGGTAGCAGCAGCAATACGACTCAGTGCGTGTTGTCTTTTGTTGCAGAAGCAGGGGCAGCTGCTTTCCCTCTTCCTTCTGGGGCGCTAGCAGCAGTTCCGCCCCCCTCTTTACCTCAGCAGTATTTCTATCCTTGTGAAACAGAAGGGGATGAGGCGCTGCTGCAGCGAGGCAGCCGCGCTGCGTTGGCTCAAATACAACTTGAAAACAAAATGCTGCAGCGGGAGGTGCTGGTTTTAGTAGAAGACTTGTGCGGGGGCCCTATCTGCGAAACAATGCGAGCTCGAATGAAGCGTCTGCTGCAGAAGCTGCGGTCTCTTATACTCGTTATGAAGCGTCTAGGCAGCTGCCACCTCCTCCGGATCAAAGCTACGGAGGCAGCTGTACAGACAGAACTCTTACAAAGCAAAATCACATACCCCTTCCTCTATACTGCACTTATGCATAGAGCTTTTAAACTGTACCCACAAGGACCTAATGGACAGGTACGAAGATTAAATTCTTTTCCTATTATCTTTCTTATGTTTCCTTTTCTTATTATATTTCTTTTGTTGTATTCCGTTTTTGTATGATATATTAGAGCGTACCATCGTGTATTATAATCTATTATTCTGTATATTTTATTACTTTAGGGTATTACTATGCTATACTATTCGTTACTATGATATGTTATGTATATTATCATCGTTATATTTTATTACATTATATAATATGCATATCCATGGGGCGTCAAGAAGTTTGTTTGTACGGGTTGGTTTAGAGAGAGACAGAGTGAAATCGATGTTTTGTGAGTCGTATGAAGAGAAGAATGAAGTAGGGTTTTTGCTGTGCTTTCTTTGTGAATAAGAGAGCATCAAAGCGTTATATTATATATATTCATACGTACGCATCTATTACTGTTTGCTTAACAATTGTATATTACACATTATATATATATTTGTATGTATATTCATATGCGTGCACCATGGAATAGTTTAGTGGTTCTAGTACGTAATAATATGCCTATTAATATATATCAAACTATTATTCGTTTATTCGGGCCAAATGAAGACCCGCTTATACAATAAAAGCTCTTAGACACATTTACACAACTCAATTCATGCATTTAATTAAGGGTGTATTTGCTTCCAGGTGTATTTGTCTACCGTTGTATGTACAAAAAGTTGTTTGTACTTCTTCCGAGTTGAACATATTTGTTTAAAGCGTTTAAACCCGTGCTTGTAGAGTATTACTCGTATAAACGTTTTTTTTTGTTTCAGTAGATATTCACGTACATTGTTATACCTGTTGAATGCTAATCCATTCTAATCTATTCGCTTCACTTTGCATGCACTTCTTTCATGTTGCATTTATTTGCTCCAAGTCGTATTTATTTGATTCCAATGATTTATATATATATATATATACAGAGAGAGAGAGAGATAAATCTACGTAGATATACAAATATATATATATATATATATATGTTTATACATTGTTTTGCGTTGTCATTGCAGGTGTTTGATCCTTTACACCCTGCAGACGGTCGTCGAATGGTGCAATTTTTGGTGAATTATCAATTACCAGGTTTTGAACTTTGTTTGTTTTTGGGGAATGTGATGTCTTTATTTAGCGACTTTGTTTCTTTTTTCGCTGAAGACGATGTTAGTATCTGGAGACCTTGCAGAGAAGTACAGCAATTTTATTTGCATATGGCTTTCGCTCTAGACAGCGTCTTCTTGTTTAAATTCATCATTAACTTCGGACAGCTATTCGCTGCCCCTGCTGATGTATTTAAATGGGAAGATCTCCTCTACGTCCTCATGGAAGTAAGCCAATATAAATCCCTTTTCATCGACTAGCTGTATGCATGTACACCCCAAAGAACTGCACCAAGCCCTCAACTTCGATTCACTTTGTTTTATTTTGTTTCCTATCATTACAGCTTGCTCTTTTTTTGGTGATTATTAAGTGTTTGTTGATGCTGTTTTTCATCATCTGTCTTAGAACAACTCTCCTTCTCTCTCTTTGCCCTCTGTTTACTTCACTTTGTTTTGATTCTTCTTCTTCTGCTTGCAGCACCGAGACAGATTCAGGCCTTACTTCTCTGCTCTTCTTGCTTCACGTCTCAAGAGCCGCGTGCAGAAGCGGCTTGTGGCGGAGGGCACCGCACAAGAAATAAGAAATAAATATCCTCCAGGTATGGCGATGCATCTCCTGTTCATTTATTACTTGATAAATATCTATAAACACATATTATTACACAAATATAATGCTTATATTTCATTGTTTACTATTTATTGTTTCCTTGCACCTTATCATCCATCTTGTTGAGTTGTTTACCCAGCTATAGACTCTCATCTTCCGTTATATATCTGTATTTTAATCTGTATATCGGTAGCTATATATCTACATCTGTGAATCTATATCAATATCTACATGTATATATATATATATATTTAATATATATGTATATATACATAAACATATCCTTCTGTGCCTCTCCCTTCCTATGTATATATATTATGTATACCTATAAGTATGTATAAATATATGTATATATATATAAACAAAACAAAAAACAAGCAAACATATATATACATATATATAATATGGGTGTGCGTCTGCTGCAGAGCCTGTGAAGTATCCGTGTGAAGAGCGGCTGTTGACTCGGAAGGTGTTGGGGGAGTATGCGTCTTTGTTTAGCGAAGAAGAGGCGAAAGAGTTTAGTGAAATGCTCAAGAGATGGAAGTACGGAGCAGCAAGACAAGAAGGAAAAGCTACAAGAGGACAAACCCTTAGACCGAGCATTGCCACAAACGCATTTATTACTGCTCCTCAGGCCTTCTGGGGCTAACCTAAAGGCTTGCTAAGAGAAAGAATTAAACAAACTGCAGTATTCAATTCAGTATAATAATTCACACATTCTCTTATGCACATAGCCATACTCTATCTCTCAAACCCCCTCCTAGTGCAGCATAATCAGCCGCAGCACCAGCTGCTGCGGCGGTTGCTGCTGCTGCTGCTGCAGTTCCTACTGCTGCTGCTGCTATTCTCTAATACGCAGTTTTAGTCTCATTTGTATATTGCGTATTATATTTCTGTGTTTGTCTCTTCGTGAGAATAACGCAGAGGAAATTCATTCCTCTACTTCTTTATTTCTTCTTTGCTAATTAGCGATGAAGAAGAAAGGAAGAAAAGACTTCATAAGAAAAATAAAATAAAAACAAATAATTACTCGAGTTATACAACACACTAACAACAAGCGAACAAGCAGCAGAAAGCGCTGCAAAAGAAGCCCACCGTATAATAAGAAACAGTTATTTGCTTGTCCTTACTTTCAACATATATATATATATATATATATA